CCACGGTTTGGCCTAAAGACACTTTACCACCAGAAAGTTTTAAAACGACACTTTCCCACCCATCCATCCAATTTTTCCATTAATTTTAACAGCAAAAGAACATAATAGTAGTTTCAAAAAACAATTAAAGGATAATTGTGTCATTTCATCCCCTGTATATAAACTTGAAAAACATAAACCCAATTTTTTTTCTCTCTCTTTCCTTCTTTCTTCTCTTCTTTCCTCTCTCAATCGCACTTTCTCTCTTCCCTTTCCTTTTGTCTCTTCTTATCTTTCCTCTCTCTAGCAATGGTTGTTGCTAGACTTGGCAAAACAGGCGGGTGAGCCGAATACAGGCTCAAAACGGGTTGGTTCTAAAGGGTCCAATATTTTGAACCCAGACCCTACTCTATGCGGGTATGGGTGGACCCACGTTCACTCTAGTTTTTAATTTTGATAATTACACCCCCACAATTCTTTTTTACAATTACATCCTTACGATCAACTATCCCAAATTAAGAAAATTAATTAGTGAAATTAAAAACAATTAAGGGCACGAGGAGAGACTCCTCTTGTGAACTATAATATATCCTTAATTAACATATACTGTAGTTTTATTAAGTTAAAACACAAACCAGCTTGTGACAGTAAACTGGTGATTCAATTATAATTCCAAAAGTAATTTTCATTGGATATATATGTATATACAAATAAACAATTAACTTTGTCTTGGAATTCTGTTCAATCTGAAAAAAGAATGAACTAATACGGGCCCAGAACATTGTCCTATACTTTATTAGGAGCCAAACTCAAGTAAACACAATTAGACCCCAAAATGGAATTGGGGACAATGAAAACGAGGAATCGAATCCCCAGATGACAAAAAAACCACAAATGACTTATACTCCGGCAATTTCCGATGATTTTCGAAATCTAAAGGGTTATTTTTAAGAAGAAAAAAAATCAAAAGGCCCCAGTAAGTTCCTCTTTTAGCTTTAAATTTAACCCAACTGCTTGTCAGTGTCCATCTCTCCAGCATTTCACAAAGAAGAAAATCTTAGGGTTCATTGGTATGTTTCTTTGTTAGACCATAACTATAACTTTCATCTTAAAGCATTAACTTTTAAAATATAGTTTAAAAGTCGGGCAAAATGATTTTGCTTACCTGCCGATTGTCGCTTTTGATGGAGAGTGCTAGAATTAGTGACGGTGGCTCTATAGAATGAAACGTCGTTAGCTAGAACTAGAAACACCAATCAAATCGAAGGTAGGAACTAGGAAGGGAAGGTTCGAAGGTGGAGTGGAGAGAGAAGTTAAAAATTCAATTAGGGATTAAGAGAAGTTGAAACGGCTACTGTTTTGGTTTAATGTTTTTTAGAAATTTTTTTTTTTTTATTTCAACGGGTACCAGGCATACCCGCCAAAAAGGACTCGAGCCGAGTACAGGTAGGAAAAAAAAGCCCATTTTATGGACTCATACCCTATATTATTTACACGGATATGAGCCCAAATTGTTAGGTCTAGCTGTTGCTGCCGATCAAGCCAGCACCTGAGGCTTTTGAGTTGGCCAAAGGCACGACTCAAGAGCCACATGTCGGCTTGATCTGTCAGACCAAGAAACTTAATTTTCGGCCAAATTGAGTCAAACGAGTTGATCAAGAGAAGACTTGATTGTTTGATTGCTTTTTTGATATAATTTTTCTTGATTGATGATTGTTTTGGTTGCGGTGATTGTGTTGAAAAGAATTGAAGTTTAGTGGTGTGTTTGGGTCGGTTTTGCTCACTGAAAAGGTGACTAAGCAACCACTATGTGATCGAGACATGATTGTCGTTACTTGCAGTATCCATGGAAGTGCACAGACAACACCGAAATAGCACCAACCTATGATTGGTGGTTTACGCAAGTTATGGAAGAAGAGAGGATAGTGGCTGGCGACAGGTGGTGGTTACAGAGGTTATGGAAGAGGAAGGGATAGTGGCGACGACAGGTGGTGGTCACAACAGGTTATTAACTTTTTAAAGAAAATAAAATACTGAATTTACCATTTTGTGCTACTGCAGTTAAAATTAACGGAAAAATTGGATGGATGGGTGGGAAAGTTGTCTTAGGCCAACCTTGGGTGCGAAAATGTCGTTAACCTCGTTTTAAAAAATTATATAATAAGAATTATGTTAAATAGATGTGCTCTTATTGGACACCACTTAATGAATTTGTCCTTAGATGAATAAGGTACTAAAATAGATGAGAGGTAATTAACATAACTCTCGGGGCTTTTGGATTATATAATGCTTTATTATAGAAGATTTGTATTCGAATGAAAGATCACTTAAAATTACTGGGAATGTTTAGAAAATGTGTTTGGTTTGTTCGAATATTGGTGAATAATATGTTTGGTTGGGAGATAAATGATGGGTATGATATAATTACTAAATTGCTCTCCTTTTTATATATTAATATAACATTATTTTTTATTATTTTTTTAATGATTCTTTTAACCCCTCACTTTTTAGATTTAGCAAAACCCTAGCAACCAAAAACGTTTTAAACTTAATAAAACACCCCTACCCACCCCAGCCACTGCTGGCAGCCAGCCCCATTGCTGGCGATCATGCAGTGCTATAGATCTGGCCATGACGTGGCAGTGCACAAATCTGGCTATGAAATGGTCAGGTCTTCGATCGTGAAACGTCGACCGTTCACTACCACTCTTTTGTTGTGAAATGGCCATGGATTTGGCCGTCTAACAACCATACTAGCCCTTTTCAACCCATGGTCGAAAAGCCTCACCGACACAGCGCCACCATTACAGCATTGTACCCAATTATGGCAACTTTTGCAACCTCTGGTGACGGTCATGGTGGCTGGCGGTGGTGGCTAGTTCTAATGACATTTCATAAATAATGACAATAACAAGGTAATGTCATTTGAAAATTTAAAAAGCGATGACAAAGTGTCTACATGAGTGAATTGAGTGTTTTGTAAATGTTACAAATATAAAGTAATTTGGACCAATGCTCAATGTTTAGGGGCAACATAGGAAACAAAATTATATTACCAGGGGTAAGTTTTAATAACCGCGCACCCCCCCCCCCCCCCCCAACAAAAAAAAAAAAAAAAACCAAGTATTAAGATTCCCGGTAATATACCCTCTAAATGCTATTGTTTGTCATAAAATATTCAAGAATAATTTTTTACAAACCAACCAAATATCGTCATTTGCTCTTTAAAAAATATTACCCGTATACTAATATTAACCCATCCAAACGGCCCCATCCAGTATAATAAATTTACCAAATCATGAAAGCTTTAAAGCATATTGATTGAATTTATAAAATTAGTGCTTATAAGGTAATATGACTTATAAGCATTTGAAATTTAAGCTTTTACGTATTTGGTTAAAGTACTTATAAGTGAATAAGTGATTGATAAGTATTTGACGCGGTTTGGTAAAATGTGGCTTATAAGTACATTTTATTATTAAAATGACTAAAGGATACTACCCTATTTTATCAATATAAATTATATTAACTCAATTTTTTACTATAATTTATCAAAATATATTTCGATCATATTACATATAATTAATTTTAGAATTACATAAGCAAATACTTTATTAAAAATTTATATGAATAATTTCTAGATTCTTTATACAAAATAAACTAATGACAAATACAAGAATTATAATTATATTAAAAAAAATAAAATTGAAATCAAAATAAGGTTTTTGCAGGGAAAGATTTTTGCAGTGATATTGATAAAATCGGTAGTTGTTTGAAATATAAAATAAGGTTATAGATGAAATTTTAATAATAGAGATAACGTGATAATATACTTGGTTAAAGTAACTTAATAAAGTGTTTATAAGCCAAAAAAAAAAAAAAGATAGGTTTCCCCAACTTATTTTTTGGCTTATAAGCCACAAAGTTATAAACAGCTTGATTTTAGAGTTTATAAACTGGTTTGACCAATTTATATACTTAAACAAATACCTCCTTAGTCCAATAGATCACATTGGCCTAGTAATTTTATTGGACCACCAACATTGCAATCTACCACCTCTAATTTGGTGTGGAGTTAAAGTTAAAAAGTGATCAACCCAAAATATATATCAAGTAAAACCTCTCAATAGTCATAATAGTGAGATCAAACTAATTTATTACTATAAGGAGATTATAACTTAATAGATGTGTAGTTACGAAAATGACTGATTTGGTTCTTTTTTATTTTATAATTCACGTTTTAGTAGTATGTATTAGGATTTCAATAATTGTTTTAGTAGCAATTAGATAAAAGAGAAGGAAATATCATAAATGATAGTATGAAAATACAAAAAGTTTTGTTCCAAGAAACTCTAAACATGATTGAGAAGCTATAAATATTTGACTTAACAAGAAAGTATCATGTTAGCAGGTTATTACGTATCCGTAATTAAAAGATTGGATAATAACTCTAAATCATAAATCATTGTCCTAAACAACTTTACATAAATATTTTATTTCATCTTAAATTTTTAATATATATAACATATATTTTTTTGTAATATATAATAATATTATATGTGAATGCAAATTTCTTAAGACAGAAATTGAAAAATTATAACTTTTACAATATGAAGTTTATTCTTATTATAACTATCCCAAATTGAAACTGAAATTTTTTATAATTTATAAAGTTATATATATATATATTTTTTGTAATATTATAATTATTATTATGTGAATGCAACTTGATAAAAATTAGAGAAATTATAACTTTATTATATAGAGTTTATTCTTATTTAATACAAATTAAACTGAATTTTTATAATTATATAAAAGTTATATTATATATATATTATATATATATTATTAATATATATATAATATTCTTTGTGTTTGAATTTTGTTTTAGAAATATCATTGTCCGTATATTATCAAATTTCAAATCTGAAAATCAAAATCGGGTATCTTCCTTACTTTTTTTTCACGGTATTTCTATTAAAACTTAACAGTTTCATTTTCATTTCATCCGAAGACAAATATATAATATCAAATTCCTTTTCTCATTTATTTCTCTGTAACCGAACTTTTTTGGATCCCTTTGTAAACATGATTTGCAACCCATCCTAATTTCGGTGCTTTCTTTTTAATTTTACTTTTTGGTTATATATCTAACTTTGTATTGGGACCATGTGCATGTTGCAGCAATTCGTTCCTTTTCATCAGACTCAACCAAATTTGCAATCTGGGTATGGCTATTTTTGTTTCTGGAATTTTTTCCCCATTTTGTGGCATAATGTTGAAGTGAATGGTAGTGTTGTAGGTTAAGAAACTTATTTCAGCTTTGTTTAGGCTGTAGACATGTTTTTGTATGAAGAGATATGAAGCTTTAGATAAGTGTTGATATGTGTAGGAATTGGTATTAGAGTGAGGGTTTCTGTCCGCGAAAATTAAGTTGCCAGGGTCTGTTTTAATGGATCAAACCTTTAGGCAAGACTCGATTCCTGTTTCTGAGTCAGTGGATAAGTCTAGTGTTTTGGAAATAAGACCATTGCGTCTTCTTGTTCCAGTTTTCTCTCCTCCACCAAATGCATCTGGAGCTCATTTCTTTTGTGTGAACCCGTACGGTCCTTTCCCTTCTGAGGTTACTCCATTCTATCCGTTCTTTGGTTATGTGGGGTCTCAAAAGCATCCTGAACAGAATCCACAAACCCCGGTTGGTGTCCCGAATCAGACTGCAGGTTCTGGGTACAGCAATCCAATTACAGCTGCTGTTCAGATAGCTCCTTATAGGACAGCACCACCCACAGCTCAGGTAAATGGAGATACTAGTGGCACTAGGAGTAGTGGTCGATCAGAATCCCAAGGTGGGTTTGCAGAGGAGGATGAGTATAGTGACAGCCAGAATCACGGTGCCGAGCTTCTGAGTAGTTTTAATATGCACATTTCCGGTCTGGAGGATACTGGTAAGAGTAAGAGACCAAAGAATAAGTCCCAGAAGAAGACGAGTGATAGTCAAGAAACCAATGTTAACTTGTCAGATGCTGATGTGGATTCAATAGTTAACAATATTCTCTCATCATTTAATCTCATGGAATTTAATATGGTCCGACAAGCTGATGGTGACAGGAAGTCTGTGGGATATATACTACTGATTTATGATTTGCTCCGAAGAAAACTATCACAGTTTGAAGATACAAAAGAAGCAACTGCTGGGACTATTAGACGGCCTGATTTGAAAGCGAGTACAGTCTTGACGAATAAAGGAATTCGGACAAATATCAAGAAGAGAGTTGGAGTTGTCCCAGGTGTTGAAGTGGGGGATATTTTCTATTTCAGAATGGAAATGAACTTGGTTGGATTGCATTTTCCTTGTATGGCTGGGATTGACTACATGGGTCTGAAAATTAATCGAGAAGAAGAGCCGGTAGCAGTTAGCATTGTTTCATCTGGAGGATATGAGGATAATGTAGAGGATGGGGATGGGTATGTGTTAATTTACAGTGGACAAGGTGGGAATATTTTTAGGAAAGATAAGGAAATAATGGATCAAAAGCTTGAAAGAGGTAATCTTGCTTTGGAGAAAAGCTTCCATCGGGGCAATGAGATACGAGTGATCCGAGGTATAAAGGATTTAGCAACTCTAAATGGTAAGGTATATGTATATGATGGTCTTTACAAAATTCAGGAGTCATGGGTGGAGAAAGGGAAGTCAGGTTGTAATGTATTTAAGTATAAATTGGTTAGGTCACCCGGGCAGCCTGAAGCATTCATGACATGGAAATCAGTTCAACAATGGAAGGATGGTATTACTTCTAGAACTGGGGTTATATTGCCAGATCTTACTTCAGGGGTAGAAAATATACCTGTTTCTCTTGTAAACGATGTTGATAATGAGAAAGGGCCTGCACATTTTAAGTATGTTCCTAGTCTCAAGTATTCAAAACATGTAAATTTAGTAGAATCATCTGCTGGCTGTACTTGCCGCAGTGGATGTCTACCTGGTAATCCCAACTGCCCTTGCATTAAAAAAAATGGGGGTTATCTTCCTTGTATAGCACATGGAGTTCTTGTTAACCCAAAGTCCTTGACACATGAGTGTGGTTTTTCTTGTTTGTGCCCTCCTAATTGCCGGAACCGGGTAACTCAAGGTGGTCTGAAAGTTCATTTGGAGGTGTTTAGAACTAAGGATAAAGGTTGGGGTCTTAGGTCCTGGGATCCCATCCGTGCTGGCGCGTTTATATGTGAATATGCTGGGCAAGTCATTGATATTTCTAAGATAGAAAATGGAGATGAAATTGAAGATGATTACATTTTTGATGCTACCCGTACTTATCAGCCAGAGGATTATCTGCCTTGTATTTTCAATGAGGCTGCAAAGATTCCATTTCCCTTAATTATAACTGCAAAAGATGTTGGGAACGTAGCTCGTTTTATGAACCACAGTTGCTGTCCCAATGTATTCTGGCATCCAGTTTTCCGTGAGAATAAAGAGGGGTATGATGTTCATATTGCATTTTATGCCATCAAACATATTCCTCCTATGACAGAGTTGACATATAATTATGGGTCAGTCCTGCCTGACAAAGCAGTGAGAAAGAAAAACTGCCAATGTGGGTCATCAAAGTGCAGGGGCTTCTTATACTAATATTTACTCAACCGTTGATTTTGGATGGCAATGGCAATGGCCCTTGCTTAACTCATGCACTACGGGAAAGGTAAATTTATCTCTAGCTTCCTCCTTGAGTGCTTACTTACCCTAACGTGAAACATTTCTCATTGTCTTATTTAGCTGCGAAATAATTAAGTTTCTTGTAAATTTACTGGACTTTGTAAGGTATAATGGAAACTTGGCATATGATGAGATTTAGAATTTAATTTACAAGTATGCTATGAAAATTTTCATGGAAAGAATTTACAGGAGCAATTTGAACTTAGAAGCTGTTTTTGGTTGAAGGCTTTTTGTGTGTGGGTGTGGCTGTCACAGGCAACAGACCTCGTATATTATTTTTAATCTCTTGGTTTTTGTTGTACTTACTGATTTGGTAGATTATTATTGATTATTCAGGCTAACCTTTTTCGTAAAAAAAAAATACAACTTCCTAACCATCTTGTTGCTTCTGCCTGTGGGGGTGCATTTGAGTCATGCACTGTCGATCTAGTAACTCTTGCTTTCAAATATAATTTTGAGAAACATCTGGTAATTGACTCCTCAAATCCTCGAGGACAATCCCTCTAGTTTCCAGCTTACTGATCAAGTTTTTATCTTTACACCCCTATAAAATTCTAGGAAACGTCTTTGTATTACTATCACCTTTGAGGAAGGCCTTAGCTTTCTGACTCTGAAAAAATTATTCTCTAAAAATTAACAGCTACTCCTTATTTCAGCTTGATTTCTCTTCATGCAAAGGCTGTCATCTGTCAAGCCAGCCCATTCGAAGCTGTCAATTTCACAAATCTTCTTTTCTTTCTTTAAATTCCCCTACACTATCTTATTTCAACTCTTCAGCCTAAACTTCTCTTTCTGAACTATCTTTCTCATGATTTTATAGCCTGTATATACTGAATATTGCTCCTCTTTCCACCACTGCTAAACACTTATTGTATTATGCAGGCACGTATTTCAAATTTTAAAGGCAGAGGACCCTAAGTCCCTAACCTATGTATTTGGAGTAAAATATTATGATATAATGATGAAGTAGTTGTAGGTAGTGTGTCTGTATGTATGTCTGAGCATGTGCTTGTCACATGAACATGTTCGTATTTTAATCTTTTGTCATATAAAGAGTTCAGTTTATTTTTACTTTTTTAGTTTATTATTACATTTTGTTTGTTCTATACCTCTTTTACTGAAAGTTACTAAATATTATGTTCTGGACATGAAAATAAAATCAGTGATGCTTTGTAGTGGGTTTCAAGCAGGTGCTCTATGGGTATTGACTAAATACCGGTTCAGTGCTTGGACAATTGTCACATAATTTTACATTCTTGGTTCTATCTCACCATCTGCATCATCTTTTTCTGAATTTTGGTGCAGTTTGTTCTGCATTACGGTTGATTATATTGAGTACATATGTTGTAAAAATATTTATTCTTTTCCAAATATCATTACCCTGATTTTCAACCACATGTTTTTTTCCCTGAAATTTGGTGCAATTTTGATTAGTTTGGCTGATTGATAAATAATTATATTGTTGGAAAATAAATAAGTTGTATCCCTTTGAAGAATTTAAGTACAATTTTTCAGTTTTCAATAACTAAAAGATAATAAAATGCGATGTTTTCAAATGAAATCCAAAAGTTTTTAGTACAAATTTAGAAAATGAAAAAAATATTCGTTATCATCTTTTCATATTTTTTTAAAACTCTCTTTTTCTCTCTCACTGAAATCAATGTCTTTCTCTTTCCCTCGTTGCACTCAAGTCTCATCTGTGTACACAGCCATTTTCATATGTAATGATTTGTTATGTTTGAAGAAGGGGGGAATTTCACTAGATGCTTCACCTTTGTTCTAAAGACTCAAACGTCCTTGTGTTTTTGAAAATCATCATAATATATTAAATAGATTAAATTTTGTGAACGTTGCTGAGACTCTAGTGGTCACAATTGGACATAAACTGGCTTTTCAGGTTTTAAGAGAAGCATAGTATTGTATTCCTTTGAAGTTTTTTTTGGGTTTTGGAATTTGACTAATTTGCATTTCCTTGGAAATTGATGAAGAAGATACCTATTTTTTAGGAGGAAGAGAAGACAGGATAGCTTAGAAAATTATTAGAATGGAAAAGAAGGTTGCAAACTAGCTGTTTGTGATGCTGATTGAATTTGTTCCTTACGACCATAGAGATTATCTTTTTAAAATTATTCGTTTCATGCTTTTAAGTAATAACATATTTCATTGTATTATTCTAACCTGTGGAAAATTTATCTTTAGAAATGCATTAAAATACTTATTTATTATATACTGTCGAATTGGTTTAATTAAAATCTGTATAGCTCACTCAACCTTTTGATGCTAAACATGTTTCAGATTTTAGTGTGATACTGTAGTGACTACAGTGTAGTCACTTGATCAGGAAATAAAATATATGTTTGAATGATTTGTTTGTAAAGTATAGGAATTATGGCTTTCTTTATTTATCACTGAATACCCAGATTATATTGCATCAGATCGAGAATTTGAGTGGTCCCTTTTTTAGATACTGATGAATGCTTACATCAGATTTAGCATTATATTGCGGTTTAATTCGTGTTTTGCTATAGCTGCAGAAGCTTTGAAGTCCACAGTGGGATGTATATAGCTGGAGAATGCATGTGTTTTTGTTGAATGCATTGAGAAGTCTCTCCCGTTTGTTTCTGTAGCAAGAGATTTTTGTTGAAGGTTGTTAGGTGGTAATTGTAACATAAAATCTAACAGGAAGAGTTCTCATGTAATGTAAGTGATATAAAAGACAAAGGTCATATGTATAAAAGAATAGTTTCTTAAATTTGAGGTTGTCCAACACAGAAATGGTAGTGATCTTTAGTTTAGCCCCCATCATCGGGGTTAAAAGTGTACTACTCAACTATTTAAACAAAGTAAAAGCCCATCTACCCTTAAACATAATTAAATCTCAAAATAAGCCATCTTGAATTTGTTGCTCATGTGCATTGGGTGCTTCATAACGAGTAAAATACAAATCCTATTTGAATTTTGAAGTTGTATGCAATGTTTTAATAACCAATCTGGGGTGAAACCTAACAAAGTTGACGAGTCTCGGGTTGACCGGTTTAATCGGGTGTCAAAAAGTTTAAAATTTAGCAAATATACCCCTGAATTAAATTCTACAGGTTTGAAATTTAACAAACATACCCCAAATGCAAATCAGCGATTGATTGGTTGGCGGCGACGACACACCAAATACAATCCAAATCATCCGTTGAGTCCATTTCCCATAAAATCTACCCAAGATCTGGTCGAAATTGAACTATTGACAACCCTCCCCGTCATCACGAAAATACTCTCCTTAGCTCCCTAACTAAAACCCATCTCACCCCACCTCATTCACAGAAAAAAGCTGACTGTTGCAGCTGTCGATTTTTCGATTTTTGGTCTATTCACTCACAAAAAATCATCTCCGTCGCCACCATTACACTCATCGACATTTTCTCTTCAAAAGCCCCAACATCCCGACCTTTAATTATTTGCCAATCATCATCCTAAATTCTAAGGCTTTCGGAATAGGAAAATTGGTAACCTAGCCCGATGAAGGCCCCAAGTCCCAGTTGAACTGGCCGGGTTGGGCCGAGTTTTAAAACATTGGTTATATATATAAATAAATACAATCAAAGCTTTGAAGTTTTCATCATAATCTGAACTTGGGTTCAAGGATGGAGACGTTTCTAAGAGAGAATAGTAATAAACATTATTCAGCATTTAAATTTAAATTTATTTAAATTTATCTCTTTTTAATATCAGTAAAATGGGCCTTTCAAATTGACGTGCATCTATAATAATAAAAATACAAAAGAAAGTGATATAGCGCACGAAACGTATTTGTAACCGAAACGGCATTTTATCTGTTTATGTCAGCGGGTCTGCGGGTGAAAGGAGAAACAAATATTAGTCTTATCCAGAAACAAAATGCAGTAAGAGACCTCCAGAGTTTTTGACAATGGCTCTCCTTGTTTGCTTCAATCCCCTCCCTTCTCTCTCTCCTTCTCCTTCTTCACATTTTGTATCATCAACCCTTGCCATCACTGCTTCCCCAGGTAACAATCTCTCTCCCTTCGCTTACTCGAATTCTTGGTTAAATTTAGCTAAGGATTGTTTTATTTTTAAAATATAAAGAAACTCAGTTGTGAACCTTTGTTTTCTAAAAGCATTGTAGCGTTTACCTCTAACTTCATACTCACTTGGGACTTTCATCGAACACTTAGTGAGTTACGTTTTTTTTTTGTTCTGTTATAATTAGTTATTTATTTATCTGAATCTTTTCTTGATTTTCAGTTTCCAGGTTGCACTTCAAAGCCATTGATGTCAGCCCAAAGTCATGCAATAGAGTTCAAAACTTTTTGCCTCTCATTGCTACCAAAAGAGGTGCTGTAATTGTAAAAGCCTCTTCTGACATTGATGGAGCAGCTCCACCGGAAGGCGCTCAACCCTCCTCTAATAGCAATGAAGAGGTTGTATCAGTTGACAAACTTCCATTGGAATCGAAGGAGAAGGAGAGGCTGGAGCAGAAATTGAGAATGAAATTGGCAAAGAAGATAAGGCTTAGAAGGAAGCGGCTCGTTCGAAAGCGCAGAATGAGGAAGAAGGGCCGATGGCCGCCTTCTAAGATGAAGAAGTTAAAGAATGTCTGAACTCTTCCTCTAGTTTGCTTGTAGGTTTGGTTCTGACCTTTTCCTGATTCCTTATGTCATTTCAATTATTTGTTTTTGAAAGTGGAAATCATTTTGTTAATTTCAATGTATCTTAAAGATCTCCATGGATCTATTGTTCTTCCATTTAATTCAGAATTGAATTATAGATGTTGCGGAATTGCATTTCTTTATTCAACTTGGTAGATGTAATGTGTGCAAATTTGTGATTGAACTGTCGTTACATCTTGAAATATGCCAGTTGTAATTGAATGTGATCTTCAATTCTGTTCTTAGTAATGTAATTATTCTTGAAATATGCAACTGGTTCACTTCTTTCAGGCTGTATTCAAGTAATTAACCTTGAATGGTGGATCAGGATTAAATAAATTCTAAATCATATTGTTTGGTGTTGTACATAAGAGTTCAATGCTTAAACTTAGGAAAGTTAGGAAGAGATATTTTGCTTCCATATAATGCTGTAAAATTATGTTAATTGCTTTTACGCAATCTCTCTGCATCCCACTAGTTTATATTTACATAATCCAGTTTACAAATCCATAGAACTGACTTTTTGGTGGGGGCCTTTATTCAAGAAATAGAGGACGAAAGGGTTCGTAACCTGAAAATCAGTCTCTTTGTAGGTTTTCTGGTTGTACAATTTTTTCGCGCTGCGGTGATCTGAAATTTAAGATAATCGAGTTCTATACAAAATCATGAGTTTGCTGCACTCAAGCAGTGGGAAGAAGCTACGAAAGAGAGCAATTAAGTTTGAGGGCACTAATCTGTATATCATAAGTTGAATGAGTTCATCAGTAAGGGTGTTCGACTTGCTAAAAAGGAGTGAGATGTGGCTGTGATAGGATTGATTCTGTGAGATGGTGCTTTAGAACACTTGGTACTATTATCTATATTTTGAAGTTTCCATAAATGATGTGTTGCCTGGTAAGGCTGAGAGGTAGAGTGTGAAGTGTTGGATAGGCTGCTGCATCGCCTGATTAGTGTGTTTTGGCGGGGATGAAGTAGAAATGTTGGTTGGAGAAAGGCAATGTTTAGAGACACTTGAATCTCACGAGAGGCCTTGATTGGAAATTCTAAGAGCACATCATCCACCACATTCTAAGGTTTGGTAAACGGTAAATAGAAATACTCTATATGGGACGTTTGGTTCAGGGAATGTTGGATTACTGGGAATATTGGATTATTGGAAAGATAGATTACTGGAATGTTATAATCTTTGGGAAAATGCGTTTGGTTAATTGGTGAGTATGTTATATTAATATGTTTGGTTGAGAGGAATAAATTGGTGGGTATGTTATTTAAATTATTGAATTGTCCTCTAATTAAATATTATTATTATATTATTTTTTAATATTGATTATTATTTGGATTATTATAACCCCCTTATATTTAAAAACTTAGTAAAAACAATCCTATAATAAAAGATTAAAAAATCAACAAAGCATCCCCACCAACCCAACCACTACCGGTCGTTGGCAACCACTATAGGTCGTCGGCAACCTAACGGTGCACGGAAGGCAAGAAATGGCCTCCGTGAGCCGTATGGCCATTTTTGGCCGTCAACGACCAAATCGATGACGGATCTGGCTGTCAACGGCCAGATCGATGGATTTGACCTTTGATGGCTAGACGGCTAGATCTGGCTGGAAATGACCATATTGGCGCATGATGGCCATTTTTGGCATTTCGTGAGTCGTTCTGACGGCAGTTGGCCGCGGCGGTGGGTGCCGGCGACATGTCGGTGGGGGTGTTGGCCTGGGTGGGCTATAATTTGTTTTGAATTTAAGGATAATTTTGTCCAAAATGTTAATTAATTGGGGTGAAATAGTAAAAGCTATATTTATGTAAATAAATTAAAAAATAAGGGCATTATTGTCCTAAATTTTTATTAATAAGAGATATAATTATAACAAAAAAAGATAATCCTATTAATCTTAGAATACCTAAAAAAATGGAGATAATTAGATTACCTCCAATACTACCGATAGTAACCACTATTGGTATTTGAAGATTGTCAGTATCTTATATTACTTGACAACCAAACATGGTAATTAAATAATATAAGATGATTTAACCCCAATAATCCTCGATAACTCCCAACCAACCGCCCCCATAGGGTTGTGATATTTGTGACTTAAATCTTTGTAGATTTTACTTAAAAATTGTGACTTATTGATTTTTTATTTGAACGAATAGTAGAAAATTTATAGAAAAATATGTGAATGATTTCTTCAAAAATAACATTATTTAATAAAGAAATTAAAGGAATAATATTGTGTAAGTGTTAACAATTTTCTCTGCTTAGTTTCTTTTTCTTTTCAAAACTTATAAATAATCCAACATTCATCAATTAAAAAAGGACAGTTATGCCCACCATCAATCTAAGCTCATGTATTTAAAAAAAGTCCATCTAAATTAACATAATGCGGCATAATTTTTTTTTTCTGTGGCAAGCTTTATATTTATAGAGAATTTCATGCAGATGATATACTAGAAAGATTGCTGAAGGGCAGATAAAATGGTATTAGAGGCTATCTCCAATCTTTTTCACACATTCACAACATAACGAAATATACATATACCATAAGCTGAGCTCCAAATTGAAATTAACATTTCTATTCACAAAAAAAAAAAAAAAAAAAAGAAAAAAGAAAAAAAGAAAAAAGTGTTCTGTAGAAAAGGATGTCCTCCGAATTTTGTTCTTTTACAATCAGGTAAGACGATCAAAAAGAAAATGATCGATTAATTAGCTAGAGTGTAATTCATGAACAAAGATGGTCAAACCAAAGTATCACCACTGCTGCGGATGTTAAACTTGCAGACAGGGCAGGTTGCATTGATATGGAGCCATTTGCTGATGCATCTGCGATGAAAATGGTGGTTGCAAGGTAATCTATTCAGCTCTACACCATCTGCGTATTGAGAAAGGCAAATACAACATTCCTGAAAGTAGGAAAATCCAAGTTACTTATCAAGATAACTTTCATTTCATCATAATGTGCATCAAATAACAAAGCGATCATGAAAGAGCCACAGCCACATTTGCCTACATATACCATAAAATTATATTGGACTGAATCAAAGCCACTTACCTGTATTGGCTTCCCTGAATGTTGATATATATCATACTTGCCTTGGGTACTTTAGTTGAAACATAAGATTTGAAAAACAACATATTCTCAAAAACTATTGTTGAACTAAAACAACTAAAAAAAAGAAGATTCGAACAATACAAAATCTTTTTTATTGCACCAAAAACTGTTTCAGATATTAGTACTACTAAGTGTGTTTTTCAAAACAATATTGCAAGACTAAACCAAACAAACCCTTACATACCTGACTATTAATTGTTGGCCATCACTAAAGATCTACCGATTATTTATGGTTTCTTTGAGAACTTTAAGGTTCCTTATAAACCAATTTCTTGTTTCTATAAATATCAGAACTAGTTTCACCTTGCTTTGCTGCCAACTATAGTGAATTCTGTATTTTTAATTAATTGCTCCATTGAAGCCAATTACCAATATGTATATGTAAGTTTTGGGAAACATATGAATGTAATGAATTCCTTCTGAGTAGGCTTATAAAAGTAAGAACAGAATGAAAATACGATTCAAGTTATAAAAGTCAGTAAACAGATTGGAAAAAAAATGCAACTGAAAACTGAGAGCAGAAGAGTAAAGATGCTCACAGAATCCTCTTGATAAAGAGCAAGTTCATTGGAGGAGTTGCTTGACCCCACCCTAGCATCAATAATATCTTGCTTCTCAGCATTTTCAGATGTCCCTAAAGGACTAGCCAAGCGATACGTATACTTGGGAAGACTCAGAATTTCGTCTTCTGATGCACCTTGTCTGGTTGCAACAGCATATGCAATTGCTACAAGCGGAATGCAGCAAAAGACAGCGAAAATAAAGATAAATGCCATTGTGATGCAGAAGAATGCAAAGGATACATCAAAGGCCAGAAAGACCACTGTCAACCTGCAGTTTATACGTTGGGGTTCATCATTAAGGTTCCATATGTTTGTCAACAATGCAATGATGAAAATAACTAAAAATCCACCATTGCTGGTTGGTCACAGTCATTGGCTGCATTCCGCTGTACATGAACAACCACTTTAAATGATGATATAATAACAGTTATGTAGTTTTATGATACAAGCACTACTTGTCAATAAAGTGATGCTAACCTGCAGTTTATGTATTGTGGATTCATCATTAAGGTTCTATAAATGTGTCAATAACGCAATACCTGAGCAAATTCAAATCTAGCACTACTTGGTAGGTCAAGTCAGTGGTTATCAATCACTAAGTCTAGTAATGGTATAAATTACAGTTCTGAAGGTTCAAAAAACTATAACAACATTTACATGAAAATGTATTTACCGCAACATGCGTTAAAGAAAACAAAAAATTAGGAATTTGTTAGAAAGCAAGAGAAATGGTATCCTAGTTTCTTTTCTTTGGTGGCTGGTTCAGGAAAAAGACAATGTTTTTTTTTACTCCTCTTTTGGGGTGGGAATGAGGGTTGGGATAATAAGAGGGGACGCTCATCCTGTGAATTCCCCGCAGGTGGCATTAAATGGGTAATGGTAAAGTCCCGAAATTCAATAACAAAAGACAATCACTAGCAAAGACTGAAAACATTTTCCATTGTAATGACCAAGTAATCAAAATAATGTCCCCACAATAATACATAAAACTGTTTAGATTTCAATGCATGCTTTTAATTACCGTGACTGATTTAACTCCATGTAAATTCACCATAACCAATCGCTACTTATACATTTGCAGAAAGCAGCAAAGAAATTCCAAAGCTTACAGATTGCCGTACTCATTATCAGATTTAGGGTCAAATACTTGAGTGCATGTTCAAACTCTACCAGTAAACATATTCTGCAAGTTAATCATCAAGATTGCAGCAGGAAGAATCACGGGAAGAAGATGTCAGAACTAAAAGCAAGACAAGTTTTAAGCCTCAAATCGGGGCTCTTACCAGTAGAGTTGAGGAGAATCCTGCAGCAATGCTTGACCGCCAGCAACAATCCAATAGAAACCAGTAATCCACCAGACGAAGGAAATCATTGTATCAATTGACTCCAACCTCTTCAAAATTCTGAAAAGCAACACATTGAAACTAGACACTAGACTTTTAACATTGGCATATGATATCCTACAAAGCCAAACTATTTCCCACTCCCTTCCCCCCCACCACCCCACCCCCCCCAAATAAAAAAAAAAGAAAACAAAAATTACTAATAACTTAAATACCGAAGAAATGCCCATTTCGGTAGAGGAGAAACCTTTTCCTTCTCCATAAATGAAATATTCCACAAAGCACTAAACTTTTGAATATTAGGTAGCTAATTAAACTACAGCAAGCCAAATCAATTGAACAATTATTACCTGTAGTGAGTGATATTCTTGGCAGAAAAGGTGTCCTTCCTCCGACGCTGAAGATAGAGAAAACCCACATGCAAAAGGCACTGCAAAGCATACCCAGAAACCCAAATCCTCAAAGGAGCGGATGGTCTCTCCTTACGAGCTAAAACCAACACAACCGCTGAGACCAAAGCAAAGGCCAAGTTCCATATCACATCAATACACATTATTGCCTTCCCGTACTTTTTCTTGTTTGCAAATGATAATGTTCGGCTTATCACCCATTGCCGCTCCTCGGAATCGCCCCCGATGTTCAATGCTGCTTCTTCTTCTTCCATCTTCTTTTTGGTTGAGGCGAAAGAGTGGAAAGGGGAACGAGTATAAATCAGCTGTTTCAGAACTAATACGATGTTGTTTCGGTAGTGTTTGTGTTTGACAGTTCAGCATATTTGATTGATGGGATCTTTTTGACGTACCGAAGGTTTTAGTAAAATTACAATGAAATCCACTATTTTCAAGAACACACACTTTGCCCCGTAAAATTGACGAAGATTTGCTGTTTCGGACAAAAACGGTACCGTTTCTCTTTCTTGGGCATCAAGAAAAAAATTTCCTATTTCCACAAGGGTTAATTATAAGAATAATACAACAAATACCAACTACTCATATAATCCCTAATGTGATTTGATAATTTTAAATTAGAAAGAAATTTAACAATTTAAAAGATAATTTGTTGAACATACAAGATTGTCACGTCAATTTATAGAGAATAATTTATATAATTAGTTTGTATATTTAATATAACTCTAATTATAATTCCTTTTCCGATAAATTGTCAAAAATTTTCTGTTTGGGAAGGGATATAGTGGCCTTTGGCATAAAGAAAAAATTTCCTATTTTCCGTAAGGGTTAATTAATAATTCCCCCAAAGTTTAATTGAACAAAAATATTCCTCAATGGTTTATGTGATAACAAAAATTCATGTAACATAAAGTTTTAAGTTTGGCTTCTAATGTAGCTATAATTCATGCTAATAAATGAATTAATCCAAATGTCAGTAGATAATAAATAATAAATTATGTTAATATAATGTTGTTAAAAACTTTGGACAAAGTCTATCATATCATAAATAGCATATAACTACAAATGATTGATTTCATATTAAGAATTAGGTTAGCTATCATATACTATTAATACTTTATATCAATTAATATATTAAAGAAAGAGTTCATTGCTAATCTTTTGAAACCTTTACTATATATTGAATTTTTCTTTCATGAAAAATAAAACCAATTACTCCCAATTCTATTATGTAACGCCCCACATGAGGTACGTTGTTATTGTTTCCTCTTTTGCTCTTATTTGAGTTGGTTTTTGGTATTATTGTTTGATTGAATGTTGTGTTGAATGCTTGCCCTGAAATTGGTTGAAAATAGAAGAAGTTTAGTATGCCAAGCTTCGCCGGGGCGAAGTATAATCTTCGCCGCGGCGAAGATGTGTTGAAACCTCGGGGAAACTCTCTGGACAGTTTCGCCGCGGCGACAGAAGTTTCTTCGCCGCGGCGACAGACCGTGTAAAATGTTTGTTGAGTTTTAGATATTTTCTTCCCTAAGGGCAATTTGACCATTCTACCCCTAATTAGCAGGAAAAGTGGGGAGTTAATTGTAAGGATTTTTCATGGAGAATATGTTGATATGGGGATGAGTTTGTAATGAATCAAAGGATATAGATGGAATTCCCAAAGAAGAGTAAGGGCAAAATGGGAATGCTTTGGTATAGATTTCATTAAAAGGAATTAAGAATTAGCAAACCCNCCCCCCCCCCCCCCCCCCCCAATCTTCTCTTTTTTCCATTCCTTTTAGCAAGGAAATGGAACCAAGCGGAGACTAAAGAAAACAAAGAGAGCAACCAACCACGGACATCCTTGGGTAAGGTTATAATAAGATGACCAGTAGAAAATCAAATTTCCATGGCTTCATATGGATAAATAGAAGTGGTGCCAAGAATTTAGAGGAATAATTAGTTGACAAGTGATGACACAAGATAATAAGTTGGTGAGTGCAAAAGAGATATATTACTCTATGAGTAACCATAAAAGTAGATAAGAATGGTTAGCCCGAATATATGCCGGAAGGATAGTCAGGATATTCGACATACCCAAGGAAATAGTACGTTGAGCCCCGGAAAGACAGAAGAGTTATGCATACTTAAAAAAAAAAAAGAAGAAATGTTGAATTCCAAGTGGGTAACAGAGTTTTTGTTAAGAATTGCCCCCATAAATATGTCTTAAGATTCAGCATAGATAAGAAAATCATTCTAAGAAATTTAAGCCCAATTGAGATATCGCAAAGAATGGACAAGGGAACCTGTAGATTTATTGTAGTACAAATATGATACTTGATCTATCCCATGTCGTATAGCTTGGCAAGTTAGTGAGTGATCCTTTGTATGTATCGAGGACAATGAAGTAGAAATTAGAAGAGAATCTAGTGTATACAGAACAACCAGTTCAGATACAGGACAAAAAGATAATAAAAGTTTGAGATCAGAATATTCCACTAATGAGAGTCCTCTGAAGGAATCACAAAGTAGAGAAGGCTACGCGATGGGTAAAGCAAGAGATGAAAGAATATGTTCCCAAGATAAGTGCTAGAATTTCTGGGACAAAATTCTTATAAAGGGGGGAGAAATATAATACCCACATTCAGAAATATGGTAGAGATTATTTTATAGTCATAGTGAATATATTTAACTAGTTTTATAGTGGAATTCTATAAAAGTTTCAATAGGGGCAAAATGTTCATTTCACACAGAATCACGTGTTCAAGTAAAAAATGAGTATGATAAATATAATGTATTAAGTGTGCTAGCCATGAGAATAGAGTGGTAGAAAGATTATGGAAAATACATGTGATGTGATGCCAAGATAAATATGTTTGTAAAACAATAGAATGAAATTAAAGAATAAGGGTAAAATAGTATTTTTACTCATAGCTATATGAAAAAATGGGGAGTGAAAATAACCAAGAACATGTGTTAAATCCATTGAAAAGTTAGGGTATATCAGTAAATGCATGTATGACATAATTGAAATTATCATAAAAGTGTAAAGGCAAAATAGAAATATATATATTATTAGTTATAAGGCTTCAATTGACAAACCCTAGCCATTCTCATCCCTTGGGCACGCCACCTTCTTCCCCCATTTCTCCTCCATTTCTTCAAAGTCTTCCAAGAGAATTACATGAGAATTCATGCCTAAGTGAATATATGTTCATTTTGTGGCTTTCTAAGGAAAGAATTTTAGCAAAAGTTTGTGATTTGTGTTTTATAAGTATGAGTTCTCATGAATTTATGTGTTTTAGCATGAATCAATGGAGAAAGTGAGCAAAGAAAGCAAAGAAAATGATTCTTGCAAGAAATACAAAAAAAAAAAAAAAAAAAAAAAGGTCTGTAGAAAAGTAGTGTCCTCCAATTTTCTTTTCACATCAGGTAAGACGATCAAAAGAAAATGATCGATCAATTAGGTAGAGTGTCATTCATGAACACAGATGGTCAAACCAAAGTATCACCAGCTGCGGATGTTAAACTTGCAGACAGGAGGTTGCATTGATCTGGAGCCATTTGCTGATGCATCTGCGATGAAAATGGTGTTGCAAGGTAATCTATTCAGCTCTACGCCATCTGCGTATAGAAAGGCAATACAACATTCCTGAAAGTTGGAAAATCCAGTTAGATCCTCTACTGCTGTTATTATCAAGATAGCTTTCATTTCATCATAATGTGCATCAATAACAAAGCGATCATGAAGAGCCACAGCCACATTTGCCTACATATACCATAACATTATATTGGACTGAATCAAAGCCACTTACCTGTATTGGCTTCCCTGAATGTTGATATATATCATACTTGCCTTGGGTAATTTAGTTGAACATAAGATTTGAAAAAACACATATTCTCAAAAACTATTGTTGAACTAAAACACTAAAAAAGAAGATTCGAACATACAAAATCTTTTTTATTGCACCAAAAACTGTTTCAGATATTATTACTACTAAGTATGTTTTTCAAAACAATATTGCAAGACTAAACAAACAAACCCTTACATACCTGACTATTAATTGTTGGCCATCACTAAAGATCTACCGATTATTTATGGTTTCTTTGAGACTTTAAGGTTCCTTAAAACCAATTTCTTGTTTCTATAAATATCAGAACTAGTTTCACCTTGCTTTGCTGCCAACTATAGTGATTTGTATTTTTAATTAATTGCTCCATTGAAGCCAATTACCAATATGTATATGTAAGTTTTGGGAAACATATGAATGTAATGAATTCCTTCTGAGTAGGCTTATAAAACTAAGAACAGAATGAAAATAACGATTAAGTTATACAAGTCAGTAAACAGATTGGAAAAAAATGCAACTGAAAACTGAGAGCAGAAGAGTAAAGATGCTCACAGAATCCTCTTGATAAAGAGCAAGTTCATTGGAGGAGTTGCTTGACCCCACCCTAGCATCAATAATATCTTGCTTCTCAGCATTTCAGATGTCCCTAAAGGACTAGCCAAGCGATACGATACTTGGGAAGACTCAGAATTTCGTCTTCTGATGCACCTTGTCTAGTTGCAACAGCATATGCAATTGCTACAAGCGGAATGCAGCAAAAGACAGCGAAAATAAAGATAATGCCATTGTGATGCAGAAGAATGCAAAGGTACGTCAAAGGCCAGAAAGACCACTGTCAACCTGCAGTTTATACGTTGGGGTTCATCATTAAGGTTCCAAGTTTCTCAACAATGCAATGATGAAAATAACAAAAATCCACCATTGCTGGTTGGTCACAGTCAGTGGCTGCATTCCGCTGTACATGAACAACCACTTTAAATGATGATATAATAACAGTTATGTAGTTTTATGATACAAGCACTACTTGTCAATAAAGTGATGCTAACCTGCAGTTATGTATTGTGGATTCATCATTAAGGTTCTATAAATGTGTCAATAACGCAATACCTGAGCAAATTCAAATCTGCACTACTTGGTAGGTCAAGTCAGTGGTTATCAATCACTAAGTCTAGTAATGGTATAAATACAGTTCGAAGGTTCAAAAAACTATAACAACATTTACATGAAATGTATTTACCGCAACATGCGTTAAAGAAAAAAAAATTAGGAATTTGTTAGAAAGCAAGAGAAATGGTATCCTAGTTTCTTTTCTTTGGTGGCTGGTTCAGGAAAAAGACAATGTTTTTTTTTTTTTTTTTACTCCTCTTTTGGGGTGGGAATGAGGGTGGGATAATAAGAGGGGACGCTCATCCTGTGAATTCCCGCAGGTGGCATTAATGGGTAATGGTAAGTCCCGAAATTCAATAACAAAGGACAATCACTAGCAAGACTGAAAACATTTTCCATTGTAAT